CGAATCGAAACGGAACGGTAAAAAAAAAAATGCCCCCAAAAGAATAACGAAAAGCCTACGTGCACCCCCATCGGGGAAACGGGTAACGTTCGACATAAATCTCGCGGGGAAAGCCGTTTTTTTCCCCTCGCCGGAAACACGACCGTCGTTGTAATGCCGCCGTAAGAGTCCGTAAGGGTTAGGAGTTGCGCCGCATGTTTTCAGCGTGCACATATCAGAAACGGAAATCTGCCGTCTCGTCCGACGCTGACGAGTTGTCAACCGGCGTCGTGTGTTATCTCGGGCTGTAGCGACCATCGCAAACGGTCATATGTGCACGATTTCGAACTCGGAGTGGCTGGGAAGAGCGCGATGTCAGCGTATCAAGAATTTATGCGCGCACAAATGAACACCAACGAACGTTGGTATTCTTAACTTTCGATCTTTTTCACTATACAATTTTCCGCTCGTGTAAAAGTTAGTTTTCCAAGTACGTCCCGTATATAGCATGTAGGGATGACGGGGCTATCATGTCCCGATCTCCTCGATGTGGTGTACGTTTAGCTTGGACCGAAAAACCAATTATATCTACATCTATAATCCTTTATTTTTGGGGTTGGTACCGAATTGGTTCCCGAGCTCCAAACCCACGCACCGAATTGGTTACCGCCTGAAAAAGTTATTTTATTAGGTATAGCCGAATTGGTTCCCGTTTGAAAAAGGTATATTATTAGGTATAGCCAAATTGGTTCCCGTTTAATTACGCACATTTTCCTTCTTAATTTTATAGGCTTAGGACTGTCAACTTAAAGGTAGGTTTGATTAATAATGTGCGTTAAAAAAAAAAAATGATAAAATATATACAATTTTAAATCGTTGATTTGGAAGTCAACTAGTCATCACTTAGGTGTACGTAATACAAATAATAAAATGTAATAAATACAATTTAAAACCACTGATTTTCAAATTTGAAGCTAACTTTCTTTAAATATTCAATTCTCGTAATTTTCTCATCAATGTAATCTGTTATACAATTTTCCAAGGATTTGTTATTTCTTTCCTATTTGCTTGTAATTTGCTAGTCTCTAGTAGTCTATAGTCTTCTATATTTCTTTACTCTATCTTATAGATATAATAATTGTGACTATTATTATGTCATAAATATAATTTTTAAAATTTTGTTTTTTGCTCTTTATGCACTGGCCCGCTAGATTTTAATTTTTAATATTGTAAGTAAATTATTTTAAAAATTAAAATTGTCCTTATTTTACCTGTACACAAACGGGAACCAATTTAGCTATACCTAATAAAATGCCTTTTTTAAACGAGAACCAATTCTGCTATACCTAATAAAATACCTTTTTCAAACGGGAACCAACTCCCATTTTTGGATTCAAGTTTTATCGATCGTATTTTCACAACGCGTTAGTTTAATTTGATTGAAATTTATTTTAAAATGTTGTGATGTCAAATCAGTTCTATATATTTTGTTGTACCGATGTAGATGATATAATATAAATTTCAATGTTTTTCCATACTGCAATAGTAACAACCGCGTTTCGAACCTACCGATTTATCATTTTCAAATATATTATACAAATACGTAGAAAGACTTACACAAGGAAACTGGATAGTTTATAACTTCTATGTTTTTTCTTAATCTTAACTTATGAGTGTTTCATACAGTAAAAATGTTTTCATTAAAAAATGTACAATATGATTAAACTCAAAAAGCTAATTCACCATATTCGTAGAACATTCAATTAGTGTACGACCAACGAGGAATGAGCTTAACACGTTTTATGAATTTTGAATATTGAAATTTACGTGTTTTGGTTTTTCGTCCTATCAAATTCCTATCCCTCAATTAAACCTACTTTTAACGAGTAATTACATTGAACTAACCTGGGTTGATAATAAATAGCTTTATTGATAAAGATGGACGACCGTCCAACGTGATTCGGCAACACTACAGTCACGCCAACACAATGTGATGCGCGTGAACAATATACGAGTAGTTCAACTTCAAATGCAAAACCCCCACATCCCTTCTTCACGCATCTGCGCTATAAAAAAAAAAAAGCTATCGTTTAATTATTGTTGAGCCTTCGATTTATTTGCACATAAACCTTCATCATTTTACATCCGTTGCGGAATAGCCATAATTCAAAAAGAGGTTGGATCTTTGATATTCACATTTTTCATCTTATAATATTATCTTCTCGTTCGATGTAATATCGAAAGGTAATCAAATTTCACTCCGATACTTCCCGGCAATAAACTTGTATTCAATCAGACCTCTATGAACTTTCAATGTTTATTATTATTATTATTTTTAATGATTGAACTAATTTATGGTAAATAAGTGTACTTAACTATTATGATTTATTACTAAAAATAATCTATACATTACTCGGATAAAAAAAATAGGTACTACATTATAACATATAGCTAGGATTAATCGATAGGAAATAATATTGTTTCCAATTTAATATTGCTACCATACAATGGATTCAAAATAAAATTAGCTCATCAACAAATCAAATTGTACAAAAAGATAAGAATAAAATAAATATATTATAATTTTAAACAAAAATATTAACTATACATTAATTTCCACTAAGTAATACATTCAAAATGATCTAATAGATAGTGGAAGGTTATGAAAGGTATTACCTTATGAAGACTAACCTTGAACTTATACCCTTTTAATTAAAAAGTTGTACAGTAAATGATAACTCTTGTTCCTTATGATTATACTTGATTAACTATCACTCTGTAACTATTAAACTCTTTTAATAATATTCTTGGACATTTTCTTTTTTTAATTTGTTGATTTATTTTTAAACTTGTATATAACATTGTTTGCGAAATAATATGATAGAATCTAATCAAACAATAACAAGTATAACAATGCTTAACTTCTAAGTAATGGATACAGGATTTTTGCTTTTTCATGAATAATTAGCATTTAGTTAGAAAAAATGTTACCAATCTGAATAATTCGTTATCTATATTTTAATGGAATTTTTCAGACTCTAATCATAATAATATTATATTTATTAGTAGTTGAGTTCTATGAGGTAATATAACGCATATCCGATTTTGTTATATTTTGTTATTTTGTTATAACAATTTTATTATTGGCTGTTCTATATTTAATTGATTTTGTATAAACAAGTGTTAGGTGTTTTAAGATCAACAGAACCTATTAATTTAAGATCCTCTGGATCCCATTTTGGTTGACGAAAATGGCATACTTCAAACGAGTCCACAGACGTAGATTTTTTTTACAGCTCTCGTTTTATACATCCTACCCTTTCACACGATTATAGTGCAATATTGGATAAGATTCGGATAACTTACAGCAGGATAGAAGCAAATTTTATGTTTTTTCAATTACGTTAAAAATGTTTTTCTCATTTAATTGTAATTTATGGATTAGTTTATTGTGTATTATATAATCTTATGGTACTATCAGGTAGCTTATTTAAAAATTGATAAAATTAAGTGTAACAAAAAAATAATATAAATAAACAAAAATCGGTATAACTGTTGAGCGAAACAATTTCCACAAACGTGGAGTACATGTACGTTGTTATTGAAAATTAAAAAAAAATATATTATTTTTTAAACGGTAATTTGTACAATTATTCGATTTATCGTGTACATTACTACAATATTTAAACGAGTTTATCAATTAAGGAGTTGTGCAAAAGCACAAATTTAAAATAAGGCGTTTATTAAAATCTAATCAATAGTAATTGTAACTAATATTGATTAATTGTAATTAATTAATTGTACCTATTTCATTGTACTATTGAAATATATCGGGTACAGTTTACGCTCTTACACTACAATATGATCATATACTTCTTCTTCTTCTTCTTGGGTTCGGCCGCTAGGACCATCCCGTCTCACAACCAATTCTCCAGGCATCTCTATCCATCGCCAAATCCTTCCAGTTTGCTCCACCTCCTAAGTCTTCTATATCTCTCTTAACTAAATCTTCCCATCTCAACTTTGGTCTTCCCAAGGGCCTTTTTCCTACTGGATTCTGTTCTAAAACCATTCTTAGTAAAGAGTTCTGGCTTTGCATTGCATGACCTGCCCACCGCAATCTTTTTTTCTTGATTGTCTCTACTATGTTGTTTTCATTAGAAATTTCTTGTAGCTCTATATTTTTCCTTCTTCTCCACTCTCCTGTGATGTTATCTTTTATTGGACCGAAGATCTTTCGTAATATTTTCCTTTCTAGTATTAAAAACTGATTCTCATCTGATTTCCTTAGTGCCCAGATTTCCGATCCGTACAATATCACTGACCGTATTAGACTAGTATATGATCATATACAGTATAATAAAATATTAATATAATACTTACTATAATATTCATTTGTTCCTATAATCAGCCGTCATTTAACAATATTATGACCACGGATTGTCCGCGATTGTATCTAAAGCCATCTATCACTCTTTTTTAACGATGAAAAGTTGGTTGCATCCAAATCCGCACACTTTGATTTTGACCCCAAAAGGGTTGGTAGACAAAAACCGCACACTTTATGGATTGCCAGGTAAGTATATCGTACAGCCAAATACTGCACACTTATAGTGGGTAAAAACCTCACTGTATAATGTATTAATAACAAGGTATTTTGTATAGACGAGTGTTGTATATATAATTTTAAAGTTAATTGTTACATTCAAAAGCTTATCTTATCGCACGTTGATGTGCTCGAAAAATTACCAGTACATTTGTCGACCGAAACGCGTGGTATAACATAAAGTTTATTTACATATATATATTATAAAAAAAAAAGTGTTTTTATAAATGGATTTTAAAACTGTTGATAGTAATAAAGGTTGTTAGATGGTATGGTCTTAAAGGCCTAATAAACCCTAAGAAAAAGAAGAAGAAGAAGATAGTAATAAAGGGGGTATAATTTATTTATATTTTAATTTTTTGAAAAAACGTCAGCAAAACATTTTTATATATTTTTTTAAATTTTTCAATGCCTATATACATTGTACCTCAATAAACATTAAATATAAATTAATGAAAAAAAAATATAGTATAAAATATTTTATAAACACAACGGGTGCAATTACATTAAAAAATGTTTAAAAACCATATTAATTATTTTTTTTTAAACGATATTTGATATCTCTTTTATTCCACCAACTTTTCAATTTCGGGAGAAATTTTATTGGACAAAGCCGCTTTTAAGACGGAATTTAAATATGTATCGGTTAATCTGGACCTAATGGGTGATTTATTACTGTTAATATATTTTCATATATGAAAATAGTTGCTCACATTGATAAGTATAAACAAAGAAATTAAATTTTATATAGAAATCTACGAGCTCCTACGTATCATTCTGACACGAAATGATAAAAATCAGATACATCAACCTTATTAAATTTGAATAATTTCGAATTTCGATCGGTTTCGTTTGTATACGTGCTGAAATTATTATTTCGTCTACTGAAAAAGCAGACGTGAACAAAGCAAAATCGTAATCTAAATACTTGAAATCTTTTAACGAAAATTATTTTCGAATTCAGTCTTCAAACATAGCATTTTCTAAGGATCAAAGATAGTTGTGACACGAAATTAATATTTTATAATTTTTTTATTATTATTTTTTTTTATTTTGTCCATTAATATTTGTGGCAGCGGGTCACGAAAGAATTAGCCACGTGTTTAACATGCCTGGTCTATACCTTTAATGCTTTAACCACGTTATGCGCATTGCATATCTCAAACGCCTTATGATTAAAATAGCGTACGCTAAAATATAATGCTCTTGTGTAAGTACAAAAATACAAAAATACAAAAATACAAAAATGTAGTCGTACAATACGTTTAGGTTTACCGAGCTTTGACGAATTCGGGTTAATAATATTTTTAGCTTAACTATGATATATTAAGTTAATTTATCCTTAATACCTTGCCTGTATTTAGATTACCATTAAACAAATAAAAATTATCATATCTAGTATCATAAGCTGTCTTATTTTAACTAAACTGGCCATTAAATAAGTTATTAATATATAACCCAAAACGAAAGAAAAAAGTAAAACAATTCGAGTAAAGGTGGGGTAATATATTTAGGTATGACATGGGTTATTTCCCTTTATTCCTTGTTTAAAGGGAGATATTCGAGATTACTAATATTTAACAGCAGATCAATGTAACTGAGAAATCTTGATATTAAATAAAAAAGCATTTATTTGATTCGTCGTGGGTATTCGGAGGTCGATGAATCGAACAATTATAACTCTTATGAGAATAGCGTGAGGTTGAAATGAAGTGAAAAAAACATAGGATTTGATGAATTGATGTTGAACATTTTTCGATTCTCGCACAGAATGTGTATTTAGATATTGTGAACGCGATGCACCTTAATAATGAAATCAGCTAAATACGTATACACACACTGAGCTTTTAAACAATCAACAACGGGATGATTGACAGTCGGTGCGCATAAAATACAAGTTGCACTGATATAGCAGGTAAATAACGTACAAAATTCTATTTTCTTGTTTTTATTTAAAAAAAGATTTAAAACATAATAAATAAATAATTTTATCAAATCGTTTTTCAATTATATTTTCCAAATAACAAAAATTAAAATTACCATACATATACACTTGATTATTGATGGAAGAACATCGAATAAATTGGTTTTTATAATTCATAGTAACATGCATATTGTACTATGATTTGGTTGGATTTAATTATTCTATCCATAGATGAAGCTCATCAGTACCATTGTCTTTGATAGTTCAATTTAGCACCAAATTTTGCACAATATTTGAGAATTCTGAAAATTTTATATCATTGATAATAAGTAAAATAATTGTATTGTAAATGTAAAAAATATTTAACAATTGTTCTTTATGTATAATATATCAACTCTACAAATTCCATTATATTATTTCTACGGTTTGATGTATTAGTACAAAATAAAAATACAGTAGAAGCCGCTTATTAGAAATACGGATAATAATTAGAATAGCGTTATTGAAACAAAATCTACAGGGGACGTATATTAGAACATTGAAAATAAATCGGATTATTGGAACATCAAATCTGTTATTTGAAACAATTAGGCAAAGGTCAGTTGACATACACACCGTTTATCTGTGCGATTACTAATGTAATTTAATCTTATCTTTGCTGTTATTGACTACACTTTATCTTAAGTGCAGTACGTCCTATGCGATGTATAAGAAAGCTCTTTCCTGTACCTGTAAGTTCAGCTTCGGCGTGCGTACGTAAAGATGATTAGTGTTTTTGGTGTTTCGTTATTCTAAAAATGTCTAAACGCCAAGATTTAAGTTCTAAATAGAAGGGCGAGTTATTAAAATCATACAACGTGCTTCCAAAAATTATTTTACGTGATGCCGCAGTTCGTTTAAACGCTTCTCATTGCACATTAAATACATTTTTCGCGTATTTTTCATTTTTTTTTTTCCATAGTACAAATCAAACCCATCGCTTATTAGAAACAATCGGTTAATTGACACATTTCACTTTGGTCCCAAAGTATTTCTAATAAGCGGCTTCTACTGTATATACAGGCACGTAGTCAGAAAATATTCACTAGGTAGGCCAATGTTAGGTGGGCCCCCTCCTCCCAGGACTTTTTTATATTATAAAAAGGTAGTTATCAATGTATCATTACTACAAATATATAAGTATACAACCTAATAATACCATATTTTATCATTTTATCTTCTCTTTGTAATTTTAGTTTTCTTTTGGCACATCCACTGAGAGGTGCCATTTTAAAATTAATTTAAATATTAAATATATAAGATAAAATGTATAAATACTATAAATTGTACAAATATTAACGCAGGTGACGTTAGTATAAGTGCGGCGTGCGCTGAATATGAATATAAGTGTCGAACTGGCGACCGTAATATAATTCTATATTTCAATATGAATCAATATGACAATACTCTCCCTCAGTGTATTTTAAAAATAGACTTACAAGTATACAGTAGTCAATATCAAGATAAGATAAGAACAACGTGACATTGTAGTACATAGTATATAGTACAGGTATTTAGTTATAAATAGCAATTATTTCCTAATCGATCGTTTAAATTTAGTTACAAGTTATATTACTTATATTAGATTATAATTAAAACCCAATGTTTTATTTGCGTTATATTTAAGCAATATTAAAAATTTGGTAAAAATTAAAAGCGATCATATAATAACGGGCTCCTCTGAATATTTTAGGTGGGCCGGCCTAAGGCCGGACACATATTAAAGTAGGCCAGGTTAGCACTCTGGCCCTCCCTTAGCTACGTGCCTGTGTATATATTAGTTAACGTTTTAAAATATTTTATTTAATTAACTATCTTACTCGGCATTCACATTTAGTGCACTTTTTAGCAACCCAAGTACGTCCTTCTCTGCGTCTCCTTTTAACCGTTTCGTCATAACAACCATTGATGTTGACTTTTGTCAGGTGTCTGAGTTCACGTTTTAACCTCTTAATGTCCAACTTCAATTCATCTACCACCGATTTTAAACCTTCTAGTTTCCCTTCAGTCATATTCATTACTTTGGCCAATGTTTCTTTTGACCTCAGCTCCTTCATTTCTTTAGACGCGTTTTCACCCGGACAATCTATAACGTAGTACACGAATCGTGATAATTACAAAAGCAAACAAAAAAAAAAAAAAAAAAATGAAAAATCGCATGCACTTCTCTTTTTACCTCCGTTGCATTCGAACCACAATCTCAGATCAATACTCGGAATAGATTTACACGGTAATAATTTTGGCGATTGCAACTCTGGTAGTTTGAATACGTCTTTAGATATCAGCGTAATGTTGTCCCCATTATCACAAAGAACCCTAGCGAGAGACGTTTGTTTGATTTGTGTGAGTTTTGCTGGACTGAAAGTTGACGGACTTTCATACCAAAATCTACCAAAAATTAAAAGTTTTCACATCGTAAATAAATATTAAACTATTTTCAATAAATAATAACTCGTCACCTGTCACCGCTTCTCAAGTTTTTGAATTGTTCAATCAGTAAACATTGGAATAACGGACCAACTTTACCTCCAGGCACTTGATCTTCAAGAATTCCACCCACCCATACATCAATATTTCCTGAAAAAAAAAACGGAAATAACCATTATGCAGGAATCAAAGAATATGTTTTATTGCATCTCACCTGGGTGACCATATAAAATTTCAAGTTTCTTTCTAACTTCGTCGTCACTGATTTCATTTTTTAAATCATCGAATGTTTCAACTTTAGACATGTTACACACAGTCCTCCATTCCGTGTAACCAGGAATACCGTGATCTCTGCCCCGTTGGATATTCATAGCAGCCAAATCTAATGACACAGCATGAGCCGATGAGAACAAATGATCCGTTAACTGATCATTTAGATTTTGCTGAGGCATTTTCTTTTTCGCCGGTACAGCGAAAAATCCACGCATCAAAGGATCTGTACCTCCTTCGTCAGATAAACGCCATGGGGTGAAAAACGCTTTTCCGAGGGACAAATCTCCCTAGAAAATATAATATTATTATGTTATTTTTTTAAATTTTCATTTTTTTCTCGACGAAGTTAAAAATTACCTGAGGAATAGTGGTAAAATTGGCATCAAGTCGGGCCAAAACCGGGTTGATAATTGAATGACCAAATCTTAAAGCAGCTGTTGCGAACACATTGGCTATTGAGGGATTTACAGTTGGGTCGTACCCTTGATACTGACCCAACATGTCCATGCCTTTAGGTCCGAGCACATAAGGTAACCAATGTTTATAGGTTATATGCTGTAACTCGGCGCCTACGATTTTCCTCGTCTCGTGGAATAAAACGTCTCCTTCCCAATGTGGATTTATTTTCCGCAACTCTCTAGCTATACGGTTGTGCTCTCTAATCCAAATTGTGTGCATGGCCAACAAGCCTACCTGAAAAGCAAAAAATGGATTTTTTTTTTTTCGAATACAATTAATAACAACTACAATATCTACTATTTGCGTATGTTCCACTCAAATTACTTGTTCATTTGCTCGGATATCACCGGCCAAATAACAACCCGTGTCACTTTCCGTCAGATCTCTTCGACAATCCACTTCGTCAGCTCCGGCGATCGGTAGCATTTCTTTACCAAAATCTGACGATATACCACCTCGCATCAAACCGAATCCTGTTTGAACTTCACGTAATATAAACGAACGATCGTTTGTAAATCCATATATCTTAAAAATAAAAGATAAATTAAAGATTTTTTGCGGTTTTGAGATATCGAATTATATCAACGTACTTGTGAACCGTCGATGTAAGCTGTCAGTTGATTGATTTGTTCTCTAGACTGTAACTTATCAAAAAACACTGATGTTGTATCTGTGCCACATATAGCGCTACTCCGAATGAAGTCCATGCACTTCCGACGTTTTATACGGTCATCATTTGGTGGTACGTCCATTGGAAAACAAGGAAAAGAATAGGCACACGTTTTCTTGCAGTCCAGACCTAGGACGTGAACGGTTTACAACCATAAATTATAATATTTTCTGTATATTTTTTTTTTTACACAAACCTTCCCAACTCTCTTTGGTAGTAGACGGAATAGCGTGGTCCAAGTCGTGATCTAAGAATTGTCCCCATTGCATTACCATATGTGTGATTTCTTCATCGGATGTAATGTCATTTGATCGAATAATTGATGTCGAAACTAATCTAGCACCAGGTTTTTCAAAACCAAAATACTTCATGCCTTTAGTCCAACCTACACAGAATATTAAATTTTAATTTCATGACAATTTCACCGTAACTTTTCATAGGTTACCGATTGGAGTATTAAATCCATTTTCATATATTGGTTTTAAAATTCGCCTAAATTGTGTATGCGATGATCCCCATAAAGGGTTCTGTAAATTATTACAAGTGCCATCTATGGTTCGATACTTTGTATGGAAACACATATCACTACAATTGGGTTTCGTCTGATATTTTAAACATCCAGATGCATTGGCGAGTAAATCCAATTGTTCCGATGATAACAAGTCTCTATAAGAAAAATCTAAACAAAAATGCATTCGTATAGAATTTTAAATAACAAAGTTAAGTTCGTTAAGTTTTAATGTTTAATATATTACTTTCAGTTAAGTTCACTTTTAGTCCAGCTTGTACGTGTTTTCGTACGTTTGATAAAGTCCGTTCAAAGATATCAGCTGATTTCGCCAAATCCCTGGCGACCACATCTGGAAATCTAGACATTCTCATTAACTTTTCCGGATTCATGATTTTGTCACTAGAGCCAAATAACGAATCGATTGTAGCGTTTACTGCTCTGTCGATTTCTAAATTAGCCTCCTTGAAAGCCAGGTTAACGAAACGATCACCTGGGGATTGATCCATTAAGTCGCCTAGAAAATTAACGATGTAATTATGTTACGGGAAATGGTAACTTGAACATAAAATTAATAGACTAATGTGCGTATATTAATATTAAAAAACGTTAAAATAACTCAAAGAGATGAATATTTATTAATATTATAATAATTATGACGTATAATTACCAAGAACAGCGATGGTGCCTCTAGCTGATGCTTGGCCATGGGTATTTTTTGCCGTACACTCATAAACACCCGAATCAGCAAAAGATATATTAAACATTCGTAAACTTCCAATAACGTTAACTCTGAAAGTATTATTAAACCATTAGCTTTTGTTATTGAATGTTCAAAGGACGTAAAAGCAACATATCACTGACCTATGATTATGATCCGTCACAAGATTAACGCCATCTTTCGTCCAAGTTATGTTTGGCGTAGGATCTCCATCAGCTTTACAAGGCACTTCTATACTTGTTCCTTGGGGAGCTTCCATGTCAAACGGCCTTATCAGAAGCTTTGGACGTCTCGGGCCATATCCCCTGACCTTAATTTCGGTATTTCTCTCTGCTGTCCCGGCCAGATTCTGTGCCAAACACGTGAACATACCGTTATCACCATCTTTTACGTGATCCAAACGCAACGTCGTCCCTTAATTTAGAAAAAAAAAATTATAATTAAGTAAATAATAATCAGCAAAAAATTTAAAAAAAATGACAAGATTTTTCAATGTATATCATGTATTCGTAATACGTATATTTTATTACTTTCATTATGGAATGATATCCTAGGACCTGGTGTGATTGAACGGCCATCTTTAAACCAAGTAACCACAGGTATCGGATGACCTTCGACTATACATTGGAGCTCAATAGTTGCTCCAGTTTTCACAGTTAAATCACGGGAAGCGCTTATAATAACCGGAGGTGCTAAGACAAAAATATACGAGTTAAAAAAATAATGATACGTGTAGAAAAATGTTTTCGTGGAATACAGGATATTACCATTTACATTAATCAGTGCTTCTGACGATACTTGGCCCAGATAATTAGACGCCACGCATTTATAATGACCTATGTCCATTCTTTCTACTTTTGATATAAATAATGAATTGTTTGGTAAGACCTGTGGACGTACAAAATATATATTCATATCTTAAACATTTTTATTTGAATTTATTTTGATATTAATATTGATAAGCACATTAAATTAATTTAATTTGGCGTTGATAAAGATAATATATGCATATACATTTCTGATAAATCATACTGGAAAATAAAGTATTATTTTAGTACACTTACGTAGTATACTAGCTGAATAATTATAATTTACTCAGGAAATATTTTACTATTTTAGATTAGAGAAATTATAAAACCTAAAATATTTTAGGTGGAAAAAAATTCGTACAATCATCCTTTATTCAAATTGTTTTTATTTTAATTTATGAATACTGTATTAATTCACATATAATAAGTACGTTAATGGATAATTATTTAAATCAACATATTAAACAAAATGAAATAATTCCTAGGTAAATAAATAGTAGAAAAATGTACATATCCAGCCCTATTAACCCTAAAAATTTTGATTTTCGAAAAATCTCTTCTTATTGTACATTTAGAAAAAGGAATATTAGAAATGTTAGAAAAAAAAGGAATCATTATGCCAAATTTCAAATTCATGCATTTTGTCGAATCTTTTTTTTTTTTTTTTTGGTGTAGCAATCAATGAATAAGTGAATTATATTTTAATTATATATAATATATGTTATACTTTAATGGAATTACTATAGTATATAATAAAATTGCTCACATGTACAAATATGTTATTGAAATATTTTATTAAACATACCCAAATTCTTTGATTGAGTTCTAAACTAATATCGTCTTTAGTCCACGCTATCGACGGTGTTGGAGTTCCTATTGCATCGCATGGAAGGATCAACTCTTCGCCAACTAAAATCGTTTTTTGTTTAGGCCCCATAACTATTTCTGGAGGTACTACACATCGAATTATACTATTAAACTCGGATTACAAATAAACTATTCACAATAATAACCACTGACCACTATAAAACATGTACTTACAATTAGATACGCTTGGCTCTAAAATTATCTTAGCAGGTCGTGACTTCAACTCGACGTTCTCTTTTATTACCATACATTCATACGTGCCGACGTCTTTCAACGAAGTAGATCTGATCATAAGTCCATCGTCGGTCATCGAGTACCTCGAATCGTTCATATCAATCTCATTGCTGCGTACGATTTAATTTGATCATTACACATTATAGTTCCGATATTCTGATTATTTATATTTCTCTTATCAACTCTTACTTATCACGAGTCCAAATGGTTTTCACATTTTGATTACCTTCTACCTTGCACCTGAAAAATGCCGAATCTCCGAACGTCACTGACACGTCATTTGGCTCTTCTTTAAACCGTAATTCATCTGAAACACCATTTACCCAAAACGTTTTTAATCATAATAAATAATAGCCCAAAATTTTGATGTTTGCATATCGCTACTGATGACACTTACTGCAATGCAAATCTGTCTCAGTCATTTCCATTAACGATTTTCCATTCATTTCCACGGGAAAGTGACACGTTGCCGCAAACTGACTATCTTCTGCCGAAACGTGATTTTTTTTCAACACGTTTATCAACCACAATATATCGCAATCGCATGTTAACAGGTTACCATCGAGTCGTCTAAAAATAATATTATTCGACATAGAAATGAATAAAATTACATCGATTAAAAAAATATATGACTTACAAACGCGTAAGTGACTTTAACGAATCAAATGTACCTGGTGATATTTTTCGTATCTTGTTGTTATGTAAAAACCTATTTGTAAAATTATGAAATATCAGTGCTGCACTGGAACGATAATATTAATCATTTTACTTACAGTCTTTCGAGTTTTGTAAGTCCTTGGAACATTTCCAAATCAAGCTTTTGAATTTTGTTAGAATGTAAATACAATTGTTCCAAATGAGACAAATTTGTAAAAACTCTACTTTCCATATTTTCGATTTTATTTTTATGTAAAAACCTAACACAATAAACAAATAAGTGATTCAAAAAAAGTAACTTCGTAAGTGATAGGTACACTTTATAAATATACACTATATACTAAAAATTTTTATTTTTAATTTATATTCTTACAAATATTGAAGATTCGAAAGGTTTTCAAATGCACCATTGTGCAAATTACTTAAATGATTATTGTTTAACAACCTGAAAATATATTTAAAATATTGATCAATTACAGAGTGTTTGTAACAATTATATAAAAATATTACTTACAAAGTGTTCAATTTAGTAAGATGAGCTAATGATTTCGGCCTGATTTCCTTAATTTTATTGAATCTTAAATCACTGAAACAAAATATAAATACATTTATTATTTTAAATATTTATTTAATCTAATTCGTAAACGAAAAATATTTCATAAATGTTAATGCGAAACATTGTTCGCATAATATGATCCCACTTGTATGAAAATCTTCTTAAATAATATCGTGATATTAATACTGATCGGTATTGGTTTTTTTTTTTTTTTTTGCATGAATTATTATTGTTTTCAATCGATTCAAGTAATATGTTTGTGCAATATACAATAACGTTAAGTATCGTAATATAGGTATACACAAATTTACCGAACAGATGTTGATAATAGTCAGCTGAAAAGCGTCTTGTATGGAAGTGAACGGCCCAAAATAAACAATCGACTAAAGAATAATAATGCAGATGTAATTTCGTCCTCGACTTTTACTTTAATACGTTTATGTGTTCTCTCGGTGTTTATCTTAAATGAAAACACTATACGATTATGTGACGCGTCGCGTGTTTAATACATTAGTCGTTTGGATCTGGTAAATGTGTTTCGACGACGCATCGAACGCGCACCAAACGTGTTATTATATTGTAAATGTAATGGCATGCGGACGATATAGAGTAAATCGTATGGTAAACGTTCTAAACTTACAAACGAAACGTAATTGAATGATGGAAAAAGTGTCGATTAAATTTAAGATTATAGTTTTACTCGCTGTCCGTTGTATTCGATCTGATTTTTTCGTTCCACAATCAAATATAGATGTGCCATGGAGGATTTTATCGTCCAGACAATGTGTGCTAATGTGTGTATGTGTTTGTATGTGTACGTGTGCGTGTACAGCTGTTTATCTTTAATTATTTAATTTTACGTTTGACGAAGGAGCAGATCGCCCAAAGGACCGTTTGAACGGTGGCCAACTAAGCCCAAACATGTTGTCTCGACGACCATCAACTCCGGTGCGTCCATGTGTGCGTGCTCTACTATATAAATCATTCGTAGTAATATTATACAACAAAATATCATAACATTCATAACTAACCGTACACCAGCATGAGCCAGGTTAATTAATACTAATAGTACGCGCGTGTGAGTGTGTGCTTGCGCACGAAAATATAGTATACTGTGTGTGTGTATATGTGTATATATGTATATTTACAGGGTGTATATGTTTATAATATATATATATAATTAGAAAACGATACATGAGATTCGATTAAACAACACTTATAATATACTGTAAAAACGCGTCAAGTACAAGAAATAAAATTATGTATCGAATGTATTTAAGTAAAATGTATTAAAGCTTGCAGAGATCAAAAAAAACTATGGAGTATTTAGAGTTAATTAATTAAAAGCAAAAATCTATCGAAACTCGACACACACCATCGTAATAATGATGAAACAACACTTGTGATATACCCTGTACACGCATGTATACGTTGGTTAATGCGCACTGCCTACATGCCGAGTCTCTTAGGTTTGAATAATATTATATATCCAGAGTACCCGCACCCGCTGCGATGACGGACTCGCTGACATCCATTAGTCACCGCGGTATTCGGCCTACACGGACTCGATGTGAAGTCCAGCGCCTTTCGTTCAAGAGAAAGGGACGGAAAACGATAATAAGTAACTTGGCGGAGTGGTATTTAAAAAAAAAAAAAAACACGTTTATACGCCTTATTATGATTTAATTATCATTATTATTATCATTACTTTTTATTCGCCCGTTAAATATCACACACCTCCACCGAGCATAACTGAATACTGTATACGAATTCGACTAATACATACTCATATTTTATACGACATGTACGCGTAGCCGGTATACACACACGTGTACGAATATTATAAACTCAGACGCACGTGATTTTTTTAGGCCTATGTGAATAAAAAACGTGACCGTATACAAGTCGTCCGAAATCACGAACGTATGGTTGAAAAATTAAACTATCCACTTCGAAACGCTGCCGCGAACAGAGACAGTTTTCACGTGCACACAACGTATAACTGTTATAATCAGATATTTACGGCATTAAAAAAAAAACCTTAAATAAAAAAATAAAAACGCGCTAGAGCCGAGATAAACAGATAAACACCGAAACGTCCGTTAACCATTAGGCGCATTTTAAATTGCTTTCCCGTCGTTCTAATATCAAAGCGAATATCAAGTCATTTATATATTATTCAATCCGGTTCGGAACGGTGTTGTACGTACGACCGACGTTTATGAATAAGATAAAACGTTATAGATTTGACATGACGTGTTTATATAGTTTTATTTTCGTAGACGTAATATGTCCGTACAAAGGAGTGGTTTGTTTTCATTCATTGTTCACAAAAAAGTATTATTTTCATAATTGGCATTTATTTACACCTGATTTATGGTTGTTTTACCGACTTATTGATTTTAAAGAAACCCATAAAAATTGAAAATAATGTCGAAAAATCAGTAGGTAATCGAGGACCTATTAAAAACAATCGTAATAGTTTTTTATTTCAAATTAAACTTCACTTCGAATATAATCTTTGGTATGCTATGATTTTAGATTTTATTGTAAAACATACAACCAATTGTGAATCAGATGCTCATCGCCAAAATACCAAACGATATGTATCGTTTAAGTCGTTAAAATAACAAAAACCAAAATATCTAGGTGCATAAAACCATATATTTTTTATAATTTCACATTATTAAATATCAGTTTTTAGTACCTACATTGTACAATTTTAGTTTAAAACTATTATCCCTCGTAATGTTTTCATAATTCCGGAAGTCAATAAAAAAAAAAGTATTCTGCTTATTATAACTAAACCTAGTGGCGCCATTTTAATGTTTTAATAGGGATTTAAGACTTAAGCTAGCCAACTACTTCTACCATTAAGTCATTTTAAAATTCCGAGTGAAGTGAGACGACTATAATAGTTATAGAATTATGTTTTTTTTTTTTCTATTTACAATTTTTTAATTATTTAAAGTACGCTGGTAGACAAAAGTCTTAGTATGTTATAGTAAAAAACCATTGAAAAGTGATGTATTTTAGAAACCAAATTTTTCAGTTACCCCTGTATTATTTTTAAAGATAATTTATATAAACCTATGTTTTTTTCAGTAAACAAGTAAGTTTTGTCCGAGCAATTAATTAAATAGTAATTAATTAGTCTAGTAGATAAACCATAAATATGTACGATTGTATGATATTCTTAGTTCTTATTATAAATGGTTATTTTATTTAAAAAAAAAAATCATAATATTTTTATAACATTCATGTATTGTTTCAATATATGTGTCCAGCAGTTTAAAAAATATATGTTATTACCAGGGCTCGGAAGTTGTAGCACTAAAATGTTTCTTTTTAGCTCTTAAATATGCACTTAAAAGCTCTAAAATTTGCGCTATAAATAGCACGAAAAATCAAAAAATATGCATTTAACTTGAAAAAAGTATAAATTTATTAGAAAAAAAAATGTAATTTTACAAAGTTTTTAACTCATAGACACAGTTTGGACTGATTGAATTATAAACTGTTCACAAAAATGTTAAATTACTTAAATATATTTATAATAATGTACTTATTATTAAATTATTTTATATATTTACCTTGGCAATTATTCTGGATTGTAAAAGTGTTTGATAATCTAATGTTATGATATAATAAAGGAATAACAATGATGTCACTAACTATTAATACATCAAATTGTCGATAAAAACATAAAATAATAATTTACGAGGTCTATTTATTTCCAATAATTCATGTATTTTTAAAAATATAATCAAGTAAATACCATTATTTTATCAACAAAATGTGATTACTTCCTGTATTATATGAAAATATACCCGAAAATAGCATTATAAACCCCAAATTAGCAAAATAGCAATGAAACCCGTAAATATGCAAAAAATAGCAAAATTAGATTTTGTGTATAATATCCAAGTAGTTTGAAACATATTTGTATCTAACTTTGGATGTTCTAGGATGAACCAAGAAAAATATGCATTTGCTAGAACTTCCTAGCCCTGGTTATTACTATTTTATTTTTTTGGTTATGTTCGTTCTTATACTTATTATTTATTCTAATATTAATTACTAATTTTCTATTTTATACATACAAATTATGTTAAAACTTTATTTTTAGATGTTATAGTAATTGTGATGGTCATTATATTGTTTACTGTTTTATAATTCATAAGGTCGGCCAAAAAAAAGTGACGCCACCAACATATTATACTACAGAATCTTCCCTGAAGGGTATTTATAATTACTTGGCGTAATTATCACCTTCTCGTCCAACCAAGAGTTGAGATTAAAGATTAAAATATAATAGGTTTCATTTACGAATCAAGAGATGTATAAGATTTAAGAAGTAAATAAAAATACTGATTCGCGGTTGTATAAAATAACGAGAGTCTTTGTTTGACTACCTAACACTAACATCGTTAAGAATGTAAGAGCATAGTAAAGACGACAACGTGTTTATTACGTCTCAAACGGTTTTTTTTCCATTTTTCCGTTTAGGTCCGACATAAAATTCCTTATCCGCGTTTTTACAGCGTAGACCGATGATAATATTATATCGAATTATCGTGATTAATTTTTTTAATAATAACGTAGGCTATACAACCTCAAAGCGCTTATGTAATCATCGCTATATTTAATTATACATGATACATATAAAAAATATATTTTAAGACTATTCGACCACAAAAGCAGATGTTAAACGATGTACAAAATTACCCGTGTTACCAAAACTACAAGTCCGTACGGACGAGTCCATGTCGGGAGGTCAAAAAAATTTTGTTTATTCATCGTTAATTGATCAATAAAGTAGTTGTCTTGTACTTTTAAGTATTACGCCGAGAAGCGCAGAAACTGCGATCGCCCGGTGATTTACTTGCAGAAAAAATCGACATTGTTAGTCGTACGGTCGGTGCGTTGAATATTCATAAACGTATAACGTACTAATTATAACGTAAACCTTACAGCGGCAAGCAAAAAAAAAAAAAAAGTACACTTACACAGTAATTATACCGAAATTATGATGTTTCGGTAATAAAATGATGATCGCTATTGTTTTCTGTGTTCACGATAAAGTGCGTATTACAGAAGGTAATACTTAATTTAATTGCGTACATGCATGCGTCGGACGGCTCATAAAAATTCCGAATCATCGACATCGCGACGTTTATTATGATAGTAAACGGTTCGAAGTAAACGCGATGCCCGCGGAACAATGGTCGCTGTCGTCTTTGTCGTCTAATTTCAATTAATCAAATCGTTCGAGAAAAAAAAAATTGATCAATAACCTACATAAATCTAAACACGATCGCGACGATTCGCCGCGGATTTCTATTTTAATTCGCTCTCTCTCTCTCTCTCTCTCTCTCTCTCTGTGTGTATCTTTTCCTGTAAAACGTCGTTCGACACGTAAAGTTTAGCCGCCGGGGGACGCGGTCGGATGAACGAAAATCGTTTTCCGACGGTCGTGAGTAACCCGTCATTATAATATACGAGTCGCGCGAACAACGAAATACGTATAGGCATTCGATCTGTGTTTTTTTTTTTTTCATGTACGCGAGAGAGGGTGCACTAATCAGCCTACCTGCAGGATGAATAACCCTCCGAGCTATTGTTTCGGTAAGATAATATTATTTTATGTGTGTGTGTGTGTGTGTGTGTGTGTGTGTGTGTTATAATAATAATTTACGGTCTGCCGACTTTTCTCCGCCGGACGTCTCATTTATCCGATTTATATACAAGTCCGGACGATATATATATTGTACATACATCGTACACGTCGGTCTAAAACATATACTGTCCTGATAAAATTAACGATTCGATAAAAGTACGGTGAGAGCAAAGGCGACGACATAGTTCGCGGTTACCAAATAATAATAATAATAATATAATATTCACGTCCGGTGTGTGTATATATATACTCGTTTAATATTATACCGCTGGCGCATGTGACCGATGTGTAAAGATCGACGCCAAGTCCCCTGCCGGCTGTAGATAATCTATACTTTATAATGTCTATATTAAAATACAATACGACGTGTATAGGATATAGGATATTATGTATAGACATTGTCTTCGACCGACTATTTGTTCGACCAAATTGACGGTACCTGGATAGCTGTACTAAGTCACCCCATACACCCACTTCGCATCGACATAACTTTTTATTTTCCATCTAGCCGAGAGCATGCCACCAAATAGACCGATTGACCTAACCGGAAATGTTTTATAATTAACAAAAACTTACCAATGAAGTTTTCGTACTGCTCTATGAGTGGAAGTTTCAAAATGTCACTTAATTATTCATTAGCCAAACAGCAATATGTCAATAATTGCTAAAAATGTATTAGTATTATTCACCTTTTTGTAAATAAGTACTTAAACAATAACAAAATGCGTTGAGGAAAGAAAGAATTAAAAACACTGAATGACAGTTAGTAATCGTTTCGTAATTAGTGAACATTGACAGTCGATCTCGATATCGTTTAATGATGGAAAATCTTTTTATAAACATTTTTTTCCCTCATAAAGTACCACGTGTCTCTTGTTCGTCAGTTAGTTGCATCGTACATGTTTGCGCAAACAATATAACAACAATAATGTTATGTATGCGTAAGCTAAAACTCAGCGACGAAGGAATGAGGAAGGAGGGGTCTCGGCTCACTCGTCGGGAAATATTCTCACAGTCGGTTGCACATTGACGAAAAAAATGAATATCGATTTATTATTGTCCTCCTAGATGCTATTTGTTAAGATCAAGTCGTCGATCCATCATCATACTTTTTAGTTTTTTTCTCTGGAGTAACGCCAGCAGCCGTGTTACAACCTCAAACACGTGTTTTACCGCGGTGAACTCCGTTCGATTCGACAGTTGAAACGTATATTATCAACTATCATAACATTATGTAATACGTAGTAATCTCATCACTGTCAAAATGAAATACATGTCTACGATTAAAACAACCGTTACGGTAATGCACTGGAAGCGAAGACGCCTCTAGATCAGTGGTCCTCACTAGGATTTTAGAAAGGGTCAAATGTAATTTTTGAAAATTACTTGAGGGCCACATACATTTTTAATAATAATACCGTAACGCTGATTGTTTTTCAGAAAAAATTCTTTTTTTTTTAATTCTACTAGTTTTTCTTCTCTTATTTTAGATGGTTGAGGATAATTTTTAGAAAATTCAATATGGTGAGTTGTGTAATAACGATTAATATTATAACGTTTTGGAATATTTATGGTTTTACGAAAAATTAAACATAAAGCATCGTGTTTCTTACCAAAAGTATAGAAAAATTCAACCTCCCAACTGTCTTGAAATATTCTGTGTTCATCTTCGATTTTACGTTTCGCCATGATGAAAAAAAAATGTACGTGATAAATACAAACGGGCAATAAGCGATAATGGATAAATTGTTTATACAAAACTACGCGGTAGAATGAATAAGCCCATAATCGTAGGTACTTGCTTATCTGTCCAACTGGTAATTCAATACAAGTTTAAAATAGAAAAATAAAATAAATAAAAATAATAAGATAAAAAGCAACGTTCATTTAATTTTCTGTGTATAGAAATTTTGGATTTTAGAATGTACAATTTAATTTTAGTGTGGGTCGCACTAAATTTGTTAAAGGGCCGCGTATTGGGGACCGCTGCTCTAGATGGTCCGTAATGCCAGTAGCGTGCGCAGGAATTTGATATGAGGAGGATGTCATGAATAAAAATGTATTATTTTCAATCTTTATTCTTTATTATTATACAAAAAAAATTCAATCTAGGCGGAAACTCATCATTCTAGATTTTACATTAAATTCATCAACTATTTGTTCTGTAAATAATGGAATGTCTCGATGTATGTTCATTAACGCCAATCCATTTAACCGTGACCGCCCCGTCGTATTTCTTTCGTTTTTAAACGTTTAAGACTAAAAAAAAAAAAACCCCATGGGGAGGATATATCCTCCCCCCTGCGGAATGCAATACGAAAACGCGAACCCGTCGTATTCTTTTCGCGTTACACGAGCTTTGGACGAAAAATTGTTTTCCGCGGTGGCGTTCATAGGTTAGGTGCATGTAATCGCCACGGGTTAATCTCAAAGGTAAACAACGCACGTAAACAGTTCGTCTCGTGATCGTACGATCATTGATATACCGTGCACACGATAATTTATTAGACGCGTCGGACGCATTACAATAAATAATGATTTATCGACGGTGCCCGCCGTGTTTATTATAATCGTTAGTACGTGAGCGACCGCGGCTAATCACCCACGGCCGCCTGCCGGTGTTTATAACGGACGTATACGCGTTTCGTGCACCGTTCGAACGCGGACTGTTGAACCGCGGGATCGGCGTCCGGCATGCACGCCCGTAAGGGATGGCCAGGCGGTGCAAACGCACCACCTGAGCATTTCGATGATTTCAATTGTTTAAATAAATAATTCGAATGTAAGAACTCGTCCTTTGCCGATTTACAGCTCACGCCAGTGATTGTTATACCGATACAGTGAACATTAAACACCCGTCCTGAGAAACCGTCGTCCGTCGCGCCTCATAGTACTGGACACGGTTACCGTCTATCCACGCGTTTATTTATCACGTTGATTTTGGTCGCTAACGTTGATATTGTTATTAATTTTTACCAGAACCAACGAATAAAATGAGTTACGTTTTGGACAAATGGAGTTATACCCATCATGGACGATGAACTAGACATGTCAGTGTTAGGGGGGGAGGCGGAGGGTGCTTTGCCACCACGTCTTGACGTGTTGACGCTAAAAGTATTTCGCACCAAGCGAGCTACATCTGTGCGGCCGTGCCCAGTATCTCTGCCGAACTCCGAAACGAGTGCCGTCGCAGCTTTGTGGACTCGGTTGCACTGCGAGTGGGCGAAACAAATGATACGCGTCGCGTGCAAATCTGCTGCACCGGTCGGCTACGTCGACGAGAACACGTGGGAACACCGCATTAGATATTCTCAAGCAGCTGTTACCGATGTAGACCAGTGAGTATGGTCTATCCGTAGTATTACGATCAAGATATGCATAAAACATAACGTAGTCGTTCGGCTCGTAATCCGCGTAAAGTCTGGTAAAACCGCGGTTCTCGGCTCGTAAATCGGTTCGCCACCGTCCTGATCGGTTTCTCGTCATTGATCGCTGTTTGCTGTTGTTGCGACTTTCGACTCTGACGTGCTTGGATGTACAAGTCGATCACCACGGTATCGTTGTTCTCATAGGCGTCACTAAGGGATATCGAGGGGTACCTTTGATACCCCAGAAATTGTTGCGGGGTAACAAGGCTATCTTTTCGCTACCCCAAAAAAAGTTATAGACTTTAAAAATATGTTCGAAGTTTATTATTCAACTGTGTACGAACGTAGACCCTCTATTATTGTGATTGTATCGAAAATAATTATATTTTGTGATAAGTCGAATACGGACAATAATACAGTGTATGCACTATACATCATACCAAGATTTATGAAGAACAGTTAACCAGTTAAGTAAGCCAGTTATCATGTTAAACCTTTAAACATTTATTTCTTAAATTTCTAAAAATAAACTTTGTTACCCCAACATTTGGACTTCAGTGACGCCCATGGTTGTTCTTTCGGACCACGCGTTACCTTCCAACGTTATACACAACATACTTAACAGTTCCGCATCGAACATTCTACAACCGTAGTCCGTGCGCACACCTGTATTTCAGGGGGTGTCCACTATACTTTTGCGGTCAATCTAAACAAAACGTGTAGGCGTATTTAATAAACCACAATGTATAAATAATTAAATAAACATGACTTTAATTTCTTATTGTGGTGTATTGATCTCAATGAATATGTTTTTTCTTGAATCTCGTATATTTTTCTCGGATTGCTTCAATTATTTATGATTAGTAGTCCATCACTGCTGAACATACTTTCGTCTATCTTTTGGATGGTGTATACCTCTACCTAACTTGAGAACTCAAACGACCATAAATTAACCGGTTACAGAATCGCTCTTAGAGTTTCGGTAGGATTACTTCAACTTTTAGACCTTGTCTTCAACGACCATATATTAACCGGTAACAGATCGGACAGTGGAATAACACTTAGTGTTATGGCTGCTCAAAAATAAAACAATAATTCACACCAAACACTGCAATTACGTTAATAAAACAAACATACAAGATAACGGGTCTCCAATACGTGAACACACATACGCGTCCCAATCGAAAACCCTCGTTGTCATTTTATCGTGGTGTTTACGTACTTAAATATAATTTTACAAATCACTGCATCAACTCATTTGCTTCATTTGGCCGATACTATGGAATATGATATATGGAACTTTATGAGAAATCGTATTATTATTTTTTTTTTTTTTTAACACTATGCTTATTATTATATTATTATATTATATTTTATTGGTATGTACAACAATACACCAGTTGTTATATTTTCATAGTTTAGTTTTTGCACGAAAATTTAGTTTTATTTGGTCCATTACGAACATAATTTATTTTTATCAAATATTCTAGAATAAATTACATTTAACTTGAACAACATCAATTAAAATACGGCTCCCTTACCCTTAGACTTTAATTTTAGAGCCCATTTACAAGATTTCAGAAGGGTGCCTGGGCGTACCCCTGTCTACAACTCCTCTGATACGAATGTGTGCTAAACCTGAGTGCACACCAGTCCACCCATTTTTCGGTATCTCTGGTTTCGATTCGTTTTTCTTCAGTATCCAACTGAAGTAAATCGAATACGAGAGGTACCCAGTACTTCCAGTCACTGGCACCAAAACTATAGTGTTTTAATGTTTTTCTTTTTTCTTCTATTGTCGTTCACGTGACCCATAATTCGCCGCCAAATAACTCTTTAGGTGCGGTCGGTCTTGGTAGCAGATCTCTTTTACTATCGAGATACTATATTCATATGTCGAAAGCTTTAACGCTGTTGCCAGCAAACAAAGTGGTAGAAGGTTTTCAGGTATTTTTAGTAAAGTCTAAGCTTTCCCCAAATATTGAGGCTGGCCAACGATACGTGAGACATATTTTCAAAATCAGTGGATGGAACGTGAATGATTATAAAATATTTTTTCTACCTCAACTTCTTTAACCATCCGACGTGATTTGGATTCTAGTATAGATATGAAATTTTATATTCTACTATTGGTGCTGCCTTTGACGATATTGCTGTGAAAAAATTGATTTCGCAATACACTTAATAAACTTTTACGTTATAAGATGAACTCGGTATAGCTGATATAGGCAAAGGTGTATCGGTATTCAATTGTTAATCACGGATCTTGCGTAGTTTTAGGGTATAAGTCGATACTGTTTTTTTCGTTGTGATAATGATATAATTATCGTAAGAAAAATTGTATTTAATATTTATAAGCACATCTCGAGATAAAGTTTTAAAAACGCGTACGTATAACTCGAGTTGATCGATCTGCGGAGGAACGAGCGCGTGCGTACAACGTGTATGAGAGAGAGAGAGAGAGAGTGAGAAAGAATACGAGAGACAGGGAGAGAGAAAGAGAGAGGAGTGAGAAGGAAAGAGAAAAAGAAAAGAGATCAACACGCTGCACGTGTTGCAATGGTCTAGAACCACGACAATAGGCACTGCATATGCTGATTATTATATTAATAGATTTGACTTCCGGCCTGCTATTTAACACCAAATATAATAATCCAGTGCGCCGTAACCACAAGCGAAGCGAACTCGTTGTGAAACACTTTGGATTATAATGTACGCACTGACCAAATTACATTTCTCATCCAAAATCCGTCACCCCCACGTTCAACTAATAACCCTCAAATTCCTATTTGTGCGTACAGCGAACCTCCTACGTGCCTACTAGAGCTCTCGACCAGCTCATAAGTGTGCGCACGACAACCAGCGCCGGATCGAAGTCGGTGCACGAGATACGATGCAATGGGACATCAAGGCTTAGGTTTTTTTTTTGGAGCGTATTGAATGAACATATAAGATTTATGAAAGTTTTATTTTTTTTTATTGGGCCTCCGATTAGTAGTGCATCCTAAGACTTAATCCCAGCACTGATACATGGTACATGCACGTTTGTTCACTGCACGATTTGTTTTCTGTACCCGGATACGAAAACCGTCCGAAAACTCGGACTTACGTCTGGTTCGACTATACCGAGGACATGCTCTACTCAACATTGTACGAGATCATAATCATTTTGATAAAATATATTTTATTTTATGTATTTCATATTCAACACATAATATTATTTACAACATTTACATATTACGTTGATACCTACTCCCTATAAGCAAGTTTATGATGGGTGCAGGTAGTCTATACATAATTATTCATACGTTTTAGTACATGTTAAAGTATAATCTTAATTTATTTCTAACATAATTAAATTACTACGATAATACAAAAACCACCATGCAATAATAAGACACTAGTCAAATAATAGCGTGTATATATTTTTTATTATTAATTTAAATTTATTTATATTATCAATTTTATCAGTGGGTAATTGATTAAATCATTTTATACCTTTATTTACCTAATAGTTTGCTATTAACGTGATAATGGTATTAAATTGAAAGATATTTTTAATTATTATAGCTCCAAGCCATTCGTTATCATCATGACTAAAATGGTTCGACTTTGACACACAGTTGAGTTCTTATGTTTTAATCAACTTCATTATCCGATCAAACAAAATATAGTGTGCTAATTTATTAGTAAATAGTATGTTAAATGTATTCCTACAAATATTGTATAACGGCTTGACTATAATATAATTTTGAATTATGGGCTACTTACAATATTTAAAAAACCGAAATGTTCTAAAATAACAACTAATTCAATTCAAAGAAAAAAGAAAATATTACAAACTATAAGTGCAAAATATTAGATAAATAAATAGATCCAATAATAGAATTAAATAATAATTCTACAACCACGTGAAATACTAAAAAAAATGATATGTATTACTTTGTAATATATAATAGCAATATGTTGTTATTTTATGATTTTACAAATCGAATGTTCATCCGAATTCACATCTTTATAATTTTACATCTTAATAATTTATATTATGCACACATCCTGTAGGATCTAAACATCAATAACTAATCTATTGCAATACAGGGATTGTTCTAACATTTTAATGAACACGTGGTTTTAGTTTATCAAGTCAAAAAATTACCGCAGTAACCGGTTTTTTAATTTTTATCTTACTCTCTTAACATCCAATGGCAAATTATTAATGTTTATTGATTTAAAATGATCGGTATAATTATGACGTTAGAACAAAACAGAAATATCTACATTTTGTGCTGCAGGGAAACAAATATTCGTGCTTTGAACGTCTTGCCCATATACAAGACTACTAAATTTGGTATACAACTCTAGTACATAACACTTATCTGCGTACACACACAGATACTACACACTATTGATTTCGTTCATTTTTATCGATGCACTCCAGCTGAGAGAACAAAGATATCAAAAAGTATTGTAGTTTATATTATATACTTCGTGAAATATGATCTTCAAACATACAAAGAATAATCTCTGTTTTATACTTGTCCGATGTAATTTTTCATAAATATAAAATTAAAATATTAAGACTAATGATGGGAAGTAACGCGTGAAAAATAACACATGCTCGTCGCTTGATGTATTTAAATTATTATTTAGTAAGCGACTCGAGTAGACATCAAGGTGTCCATAAATTATATTTTCGGACAGAAAAATAATGTAACTAAGATAAAATTAGGTTTGACCATTAATCATTATTCTTGATGGTATCAACAAGTATATGAACTTGAATAATATAATATCTGTACATCAATTTTAAAACACACGTAGAAATGTTTTGTAGATACTTTATTTTGTACAAATTATCAATGAACGTTGCACCAGTATTTTTTTAAATGTGGTAATACATACATTTGAAGATATATCTGGATTTATCTGAAACTTAATTGTATAACGTTCAGTGAAATATATTTTTTTTGAGAATATTTTACAAAAATATCTCATAAATAAAATGATTAAATGAATACTAAAATACACACAATGCATAAATAATATAAATTTTAATATTTATAAAAACACAAAATGCGCACGGACGTTGAAAACGAAATTTTAGTGTTTTTTTTCTTTTTTTTTTTCCAACGCCAACAACTCGCAAAACACGTGGCTAAAATCCGTGTAAATATGGGCACGACAGTTAATTGTACCGATAATAATTTATATACATGCCCGACGCCGCTGCTAAGTCACTGATTTAAGCACCACGGTAAAATAAAATAGAACCGGTTACTTATGTTTAGGTTGTTGGCATAACAACACGTTTACACACATGGGTCACAGGTCGAATAATGAAACGGTAGAAATAATAATTTGCTATTTTCAAACTCAGTATTCTACGTATTTTTTACATTACATAGGAATCGTTCGTTAATGCATCTGCTTTTATTACGAGCACCAAGTATCTGACCTCAATTTCACCACAGCCGATATTGTTATTGTACGGACGACCATTATTTTCTATTTGATTTAAACAAATACGGCCGACGTACGGAACAATATTTATTTCTGGACAAACATAATACCGATGATAATATCTTAGCGAATAGAACGTGTACTGTTCAATCGCAAGTACTTGGCTGAATATTGTTCATAGTTTTTGAAGTACCTATGTTTTCATTATTAATCGTTGCGTGTTGTGGAATTTCAAAGTTGGAAATCGTATAAAAAAAAAATAATATACAAACGTAATAATGGTACAGTTAATGTCGTTGACGAATTTTAACATAAAATATTTTCAATAACCGTTGTACATAATACCGGAATTCCACTGTATGTCTGATTCAATGCTTATCGATTGTTCTAAAAGGAAACACAGAAATAATAAATCGTACAGTACGGAAAAAAAATGGTCATCATTTAGTAGGGTTCGTAGTACAAATTTGGAACAGTCATGAAAATGATGAATAATATTTACTTAAATTGAATGATTCGACACTTTTTTGTGAACAGGGGTGATCAATGATATATTATATCTTACGCCCCTACACAAAAGTACATGGATTTTTATCTACCCCTGTGCGCGAACGCATAATCGCTCGATTGAGCTTTATCAATGGAAAATTTAATTTTTTTCTTCACCTCGGTGGTTGAATTTTGAAATAAAAGCTCATGACGAAAAAATAACTACATCCACAGCGTTATAATGAATCATATCATTCTCTATTTTCGATTTCGTCCAAGATATAAATGTTATTAATGCTGTATTGGTTTGGGTGCCATATATAGAATATTGTCAACGATATTTCATTCAATAGATTTTTCTTGTATGTATACGTAATATGATGCAAATCGAAGTAATAAACAAGTCTTTTACACGAGCGTACGTATATAGTTTAACATTGATGTAAAACATGTATTTTTAATAATCGTTGTATTATTAATATTTTGTCAACTGCACTATACGTTTTGGAATTTGCTTCGTTAAACATTATTTCTCATGAGTAGCGTTATCGGTTGTTTTACACATTTCAAAGACATAACTCGGCATCGTGTTTATGAAATTATTTCTAAAAAAAATTAATTTTTTCTCGACACGTTATATTTATAATATAATTATTCATAAAAAAAATAATCCTTCATCAAAGTTGTGTTGAGAATTATTTTACGTTAAGCCTATTCAATAAACACTGGAAACGTGATCGGGATATCAGATAATATACTTTTCACTCGGTAAATAATCACGTGGCAATGAAATCATATTTTACAATTGGTAAAAGAACATAATTATATATATTAAAAATCGATAATTCGACTAATTTCGTGTTTTTTTTTTTTTTTTTTACTAATTGGTTAAAAAATGTAACCTACAGTTTACCAGTTATTAGTTTAATACGTTATAATTTTCAATTTATTATTTTCTAAGTAATTATTTATTTGACATACATATTGGTATCTCCCGATCATATATATATAGGGTATAGGATCACAAAATATGTACAAAAACACGATTATTTATTTATTGTATTACTTCGTTATAACTTATAACTCTAAAATAAATAATATGCATATTCAATCCATGTACATTTATTTTAATAAAGTTTCATGTGGGAAATCGTCGTTTAAATTTCCAGATGTATTCTTTATAACAATTACACGTTACATTTCTCATCATGACAATTTTCGACCCGCCGTACATAATTTATACAACGCATAATACATATCCAAATCTGAATAGACTAAGAAAAATAATGATAACATAATAATTGTGTATATTGTTAATTCTGAGGTAGATTTTAATGCAACTTTACTCGTCTTTTATTTTTATAAAACATGGAAACTGAAACATACGTGTAATAGATTATAAAACTATTTCATAATCGTTATGGTATTTGTTAACTCTGTACAAATCGAATACAGCCGAAAAAAACAACATTGTCAAGATCTATATTTTATCAATCACATTTATCTTTATACCCTTTTTTGAAACTAAAATAACTCATTGTAAATCTATTGTACGAACCACCTATGATCCTTTTTAGGCATAAATTGCACAGATTTGAGATAACACACGCAATATACGTGAGAAGCATTTTGTACACAAATTATCATGCACCTATATTTATATTGCAGAGCATTATAAATGCACGTGTATGACATTGAATAAAAAATGCTTACATATTAAAATATATATTTTTATATAGACATTTATCGATAAACTAATAAGTGATAAACAAAAAAAAAA